AGTTATTTATTTAATGCATTTGCATAAGACATATAACATTATATGGTTGTAAGCAAAAAAAAACCGAAACAGAAAGAGAAAACCATATTTTCGACATTTTTTTCTTTAACTTCATATAACTTGGAACCAGTAGACTGTGGAAATTTTGCGCCTTTGAAAGAGCTGTTCATTTTGTCAAGATAAACAGCTTTGCCCAAGACATCAAGTTTGCAAAACGTCAGAGAAAGAAGTTAGATTGTGGCACCATCTTTGCGGAAGAGTTTTGAACTATTTGTTTATGTTAATAGATGGTCCTTATTATGACAAGAAATTTTGCGGAAGACACCAAATCGCGAAAATGCTTCGTTTCGGAGTTATTAATTTTGCTCCGCTAGGTTGCATTCCTGACCCAGTGTGCAATGTAAGCATTAGACATTTTAAAAAATTACGTTTGGTGTTTTTCTTGCCTGCTGTCCTCTGTCGCCATATTGTCATTATGAAAATGCCATTAGCCTTGGAATAAAATCCAAGAAATTTCAATAAAATAATGGCTAAATAAGAGATCCGAAATGATTTCCAGTGTGCTTTGTTATGAATTTATGTATTGAGATCTATTTTCTGTAAAATTAAGGTGATTCCTCAAATTCATTTGATTTCTGAAACAATCTTTTTTGTTAACTTGAATAATTTTGGAGGCGCATTTATTTAACGCTCATATTATCTCAATATACACGATAAAATTTCAAGCGCATATGTTTTGGAACTTCTAAAAAGTAATATATTTTCATTAAGATTTTCACTAATGTCGCCATGAAACAAAATTGATTGCATGGTGATCTTGACACTAACACTCAAACCTATTTTTACCGCTTAAGATTTCCATTTGGGAAAAAAAAGATTCAGCAGAACAGAACAACAACAAGCTAGTTTATGGCGGTTGCTTTGAAGCCAATAAAAATTAAATTGGCTTTATAACTGATTTTCACCAAAGCGTAATAAAACTGCTTGGATACAATATTACTCTTATAGAGGCTATGAGAACCTTTTGTAGAGTATGAGGCTTTCTGACAAAAGGTTTTAAGACAGCTTTATTGTGATTCTCAAACATGCTTTATAAACCTTATCAAGAGTGGTCCACTAAGCTGTATGACGATCTTATAGCGGTTATCAAAAGGTTGTGCTGGAGCTATTAATTTTATTGGCGGTTTTATAAAATTGATCTCAATAACCACTAATAGAGTGCAATAAAATAAGAAATGCTACATGGGATTAGTGACTTGGTCACTTTTTTCAAGTCAGTTATCAAAAAGTCACTAAAGTCACTATTCCTTAAAACTAAGTCACTAAAATCACTTTTTTACGACCAATGTTGAGAGTTAATAATTTGACTTTAAAAACTCAGAGTAAAGTCTGGCAAGAAGAGTTGCAAACATATGGGAACGTTTACTGTTCACGAAATCTAATATTTTATTTATTTTTATCTTGAAATTGTCATAGATCTATCATAAATTTTCAGAGATTTCTCAAAAAGCTCTAGACCCAATATTCTGGCTGTTTTACATTGAGATCTTGAAAGTTATCCAAGCCTGCGCTGCAACAAAAAGCTACGTATAATTCACCTGAATTGACACGTACATATTTTCCATCGTACTTTTCAAATGAAAATTACGTGTTTTGGGGGAGCAATTCCATTTGAGTTATTCACAGAGAAATCGATTGATTTTCACGAAAATTTTATCGGATTTTTCGATAATCTTCAAATTGGCATCACTTAAAAGTTAAAGGAATTAGCAAGTATATGTTACTGGATTTTGTAGTAATGATAAGGTAATTGGTGATAGACTATTAATATATATTTCGATTTATTTTAGCCATTCAATGTTTGCATTCTAGACAAATTGAATTTCACTCATATTCTGCAATTTTATTTTAAATTTATAAATGAGTATTAATTAATATTTTTTTTAAATTAACGCTTGAAAACATAAAGAAGTCTGGGAATTCTACCTCGTCCAACAACGACGAATGCGCACTTTCTTCCATCGTTATTTTAGAATTACGAATACGACGAGAAAATTTCCATACCATGACATGTGAACTGGACCAGTGAATCAAGTGAAAGTCATTACCATGTCATTGAAGTTCTATTTTGAAGAAGTTTTCTGAATTTTTAGGTAAAAATTACCTTTCTCGTTGGTTCAATGTATAATGCCAAAAAATGATCTAAAAAAAATATCAAGCTCGCAACATTTGTTCAAAGGCCAGCAATTTGAATAATCTTTGACCCCACGGTAGCTTTAGTATCCGTCCAAAAATCGAGAAAAAAATCTTGTCTCAGATCTTTGAGTTCCTTTTTAACTTCATTAAATTGTATTGTATTTTTTCCATACTAATATTCCGGTAATACAAAATCAAAAAATTCCAAGTCCAGGTCTTAGATTTTTTTTTTAAACTCTAGAATGAATTCCTAAATCTCTATTTTTTACGATCGAGATTTTAAGTCCTAGACGCATTCAATTTTGTTTTATAACCGGGATCATTCCATATGGGAAAATTTTCCTCATGCCATAATAATGGGATTTTTTTTCTTAAACTGCGATCTAGAAAAGTTGTCCCAGAGTTATGATTATTTTTCTATGTTTCATGTTTGAGGTGTTACAAATTTGATTCCGATAAACCTCCCAAAGTTGTGGGAGTAACAATTTTTTGTACATATCTATCTGACAATTCATAATAACGCTCTGCATTAAAAATGAAAGGTGTGCTTGTAGATAATTTGGCTACAACTTTTTTCAAGACTACATTTCAATAAAATGTAAGGAACACAATGTATGTATGATTCAAGTCACTCCCGGGTAGCACACTTCCGTTAATAAAAGTTGCAGCAACTTGTTTATGACTGAAATTAGTCGTAAAGAAGTTTCTACAACCGATATGTGACAAGCGTGCTACTAGGGCTGGTACCTTATGATTATTCTCAATCAACTATTCAGCGGGTAACATTGGAGTTTCTGGTGCGTAGAATAGAGCACAAAAATAATGGCTACTATGTCACACTGCAGGATACAGTGTTTCCCACAAAACTGATTTTTTATCATGACATAAGATTACACTAGTTTACAAATAAAAGTAAAAAAAAATGAACTTCAATGTTTGCTCTCTGATCCTTATGTAAAATCGTGCGCTGAATCTAAAAATGTATCAAAAACAAATCTCAGTAGGATAGTTTTCCAGATACAGCTTTAAAACGATATTTCACTTAAAAAAAAACTGTTTTCTAAATTACAAATATATCCGGCTCCAATGAAGCTTACGGCAAATTACAAGTGAAAAAATTTGCTTTTGATTAAATTGACGTCACTTTTCAGTAAGATTAGTGATATTGTTGTAAATTAAAAGTTTGTTTTTCGTATATTTCCAAGAAAAAATTGGCTTTCAGCTAAGTTTTTAAGCATGGAAATATTGTTTTTGTAGTGGTGGTGCCAACAATACCACTAACCATACTGAAAAATGATGCCCAGCAAATTTTCTTACCTTTGATTTGGCTTTAAAATAAATGATATAGGTTCATTACAGCCGGAAATATTGATATGTTAGTGAACAAACTTTTTTGAGTGAAATTTCATTGTTTAGCTGTATTTAGTGAACTATCCTATTCAGCTTTTTTTTTATACATTTATCGATTCAGAACACGATTTTACATGGGAAATGACCATCAGCGTACAAAGTTTAAATATGCAGTAAACTAGTGTCATTAATCTCTTAAACAATTAATAACTATTTATATTGACGTTTGGCTGTGCAATATGGGAAAAGGCTAGAAGACAATGATTCCCATAGTAATTTCCATATAAACCTCAAATTGTTTGTACAAATTCAGTTCCCAACCAAATGAGTTCAAATTGGGAGGCTAATTAGGATCCGAATTGAAACTGTTTGAGCACTGTGGAGTGAATATTTCTAATTTGCATCAGTCAATCTTAGAAATTGCAGATAAAAGTTTACATCTCATCGCCGCAAGATCATTTTTGTTTATATTCTACCATTTTACAGCTTCGTACCAAGTTGTGTATTTTGAAATGCACCAAATATCGTTAACTAAGATTGGGTGTGGCAAAAACCCAAATCAATAGTTGAGCCGCCAATAAATAAACTGTCCGTCTTACCCCCACTGTCCGTCTACCTGCAAAGTTCCCCTACTTACTATTTTTATTTAATCGGGCACTGAATTCGAACAATCACCGTAAAGAAGAGGAACATGAGCGATAGTGATTCTAAATGTTCCTTAAAAAATGTTTCTCAAATACTTAAAAAATGTTACCTCAAATACACAACAACAGCGCCACATGTTTTGGTTTGGCAGTAAACGACCAAGAATGTGAAAACAATTCTAAGGTCAAGAACACAACAAAAAACGTGAATAGCTATCTCTATTCGAAATTTCACCTCTAAAATATTCTCAGATGATTCTGTCCTAGAAACTCGTGTTGCACAGTGTTATAATTAAGTCAAGGTTGTATAAACTTTCACTTGACATTATTAATTCCGAAAGTCATCAGAACACGGAACACGGGCGCTGAATAAAATCCAAACAATGCCAAATAGGAAAGGCTGGTTTACAAACACGCCATTACTGTGTATCAAAAACTTGTAAACCGGCTGCCAATCATATCGCTGTGGCTTGAATATAATTATCACTTACAACCGTACGACCCTCCGGATGCGTTAACTGGCAAACACAACAATGTAAACACCCAAATAAACTGCTACCGGTAATTACCAACGGCTACACGAGGCGCCGCATTCAACCGTGCACTTTTGCTTCTCAACTACAGCCGCTACGGCGATTGAGCTCAACTTGACCTAGCACGTTGCCGATTATACCGGTTCGTGCGCGCGCACGAAAGGTGCATTTATGGTGATTTGATTAACAGGTGCATTGATCTGATCCATTAAAGGTGTTACATCAAGATCGGTTTTATTTGTGAAATCTAGATCACGTTCATTGTCATCGAACTTACCCAAAAATGCGACAGTAGGTTGACGTTAACTATTCGTTGCACATCCTCCGGTTTCCCTTCGGACAGGGACAACATGGCCAGTAGCGCTGCATTGTTGACTAGGATGTCGACCGGTCCGAGCGCGGATTCGATGTTTTCTTTCAACTTTACAACCGACCTGTAATCACCTACATCGACTTGAAACGCTTCAGCTTTCACTCCGAACTGGGCCCGCACTTCTTCGGTGGTACGACGCGCACTGACTAGATCAATATCGGCCACAGCCACCGAGCAACCTTCGCGTGCCAATCGAAAGCACAGTGCTCTTCCAAGACCATTTCCACCGCCGGTGACCAATGCCAGCTGACCGTTTATCGATTTCCTCTTAACCGGCAAGAACAACTGCACAAAGTCACGCAAAAGCACCGGAACTATCAGTAGTAACAGCTTGATCACTTTGGGAACTATTTCCACCAGGACGAATCTCACGTTCTTTTCTAACTGTTCGAAACTGAAGGGTTTCTCTGAGGGTTCCTGAGTGATCGCCGGTTCATACGCACCGTCTGTGTGTTGGAAATATTGCACTTGGCACGCCATTCTGAGCAGAGCGTCGTTGTTCTGGCTAGAACCAACTGTATTGAAGCGCGTTCGAAGTTGAACTGGGTGTTGTCAGCGACTGGATCGGATTGAGTGGGTTCCGTTCTGACTGATGCCACGCGCCGGTCGATGGGGTTGGGGTTGCTAGCGCAAAACGATGCGTGACTGGAGATAGTTTAACGATCAAAGTTATTCGTTTTAAGTAGAATGAGAACACTGGACAAAGACCAGTTCCACGCCAAATAGCAAAAAATAATAAAAACATTTACTCGACCTTCTCCGATTTGCATGAAACTTTTAATAATTGTTTGTCATGGGCAATCATTCTGATATTTGTAAAAATTCGGCCATTTTGTATATTGTGGTGTTATTTTCCAAAAAACGTCACTTTTGACCAAAATGACGTCTGACCCAAAGCTGTTGAGCAAAGTTAAATCTTCCAGGGGAAAATATATATGGTAACTATTTTTTGATTCGTTAATTAAAATTAAAAAAAAAAGTGATTATACTCCAATATCTCAGAAATTATATCTTCAATTCAAATGTATTTTTTTTTTAAACCGCATGAAAAATTTAAACTTTTGGAATGTTTAAAACCATGAAAAAACGTAGATCATTAACTTTTGGTCATATTTTTAAACTTCTTGTTAGCAAGCCTTTTTATTTTATCTCTGCACAGAAAACATCTTTAAATGTCTCAAATATTGATTTTGTATAGAAATAAAAAAAAAACTATCAGAAAGTTCAAACACCAAAAGTTCTCGTTCTAAAATTTTATTAAATTTTCAAGTGCCCATGGTTTTCAATATTCAAAACGTTTGCATTTTTCATTTTAAATTTACGGTATATAATCTTGTCTCAGACGTCATTTCGTCATTTCGCAAACAGGAGAAGGTTGAGTTTTTCGATGGACCATTTGGTGTGGAACTGCTCCAAACATGTTGTTATTTGTTTGGATTTATTGGTGAATCTAGGATGGAGTAAATTGGATACGTTTTGTACGTTGATTTACATGGTATTGTGTGTGACTAAATAAGTTCACACGAAACCACCGGGATCGTCTTTTTGTTTTCGCATTGGTTCTCATGGCGATAAGTCTAATTCAAAGGGAAGTTTGCCACCAGGGTTGTTAATCGATAGCCGTCGATAACGTCTGCAATGCACATTCACCATTCCAGACGTTAACGCTGACGCGCAACTGCACTGAAATCGAATCTTACTGAGAGAGTGACTCACTTTTACTCATTCATAAGGATAACTTTCTTAAAGCGTACACAGATAAAAATTTTGGATTTTAATTGTGATGTAAACATTCAATCACGTAAACTTGTATTTCACTTCACGCAACCGAGCAACTTATAAACAATTTTGTTTACAAAGATGGACTTTTGTATACAATATTTGCTACATTACATGAAATGTGTCAGAATATATAATATAAACGTATATGATATATAATATAAACGTATATGATATGTGACGCTCCATTTATGTGCATCATATTGAACAGAAAATTACACTACTTTTTCGAACTGTGTAGGTTTCTCATGCGCTGAGTACCCTACGCTTTTAGATATTTCTCCATACGAATGAGTAAAAATTACTCATTCTTTGAATCAGTTCCTTTTTAAGAATGTTTCGTTTGATTTCTCAAACAGCATTAAACGAAGCCTTTCGTAGCACAGCGGAAAATCTTGCAGAGTGGATCTTCTTTTTTTTTGAATTACGGCCTCACTGGAACTTCATGCAAGCTCTCGACTTAGTGTTCTTTCCTAACTACATTGTGAGTCATTATTGTATCATTATTATTGTGTGCACAGAAAAAAATTCTGAATTTTAACTGTCGCGTAAAATCCTCTTTCGGTTAATTTTGCCCTATAGTTGGCATTAAGATCAAAATTGCTTACAAGCTTGTATACAATATTGCAGAATTATTCTATATTGCGCTTAAATTCACATGAAATATCGTGTAAGTTTACGCCAAATCTAGCGTTAATAACATGTGCACCATATATCGTAGAAGTTAACATAAATTTTTCATACGGTATGGCATGTACAATGATGCTCTATTTTTTCAACCCGAAAATGTACTAGATTGGACCGGGAATGGAACCCAGCCACCACTAGCATAGTCTTATTTAGCGAATACAAACATATAGAGCAACGAACGATATAGACAAAATGCTTGATAATACCACAACGATAAACTCTCTCTCTTGATCGGAGTTGTAGACAGTGCTGTGATTATAGGTAGTCACATGTAGTCTTCGACTACTTAGCTCCAAACCGAAAAAAAAAATCAAAATATATAAAATACAGCAATCCGATCCACAAAAAAAAAAACATCTTCAGGAAAAAAATTGTTCAAAATCGCAAAAAAAAAATATGTTGAATTTGAAATAGCTAACGCTTCTGGAAGACCAGGTTCAGAGAAAATTTGAAATTAAAATGTTAATTTTAAAACGACTAGTGCTCCTGGTAAACTTGTTCAGGATGATCTAATAATATGAAATGGCTTCTGCCTCTAATCAACAAGTTCACTTTTTTATGTTTTGTGCTAACGTAAGAACTACCCGACACTCACAAGACGCAACGTGAGACAAGACACAACACTTATCGTTCTTACAACGTTAAAATAAATTATAATTTACCTCTCTGTCGACCGGTTTCGGGCCCATCGTATAAACGGACCTTAACCTATCTGATATTTTGGTCTGATTTTGACCGCCGCCATAATGAAAAATCTGCTCGAATTTACTCTCTACACACTTTGTCGAACCACCCTGTTTGCTGGTGTTCGCATTGATTGCACATGTCAAAAGAACTTTCAATTTAGATTTCAAAACAAACTGTATCAGGAATCAAAAATAAATACTTCCATCATGAATTACTGGAATATTGCTCTAGCTTCGGCAGGCGTATTTGCTTTTATTATTTTAAATAAAATGAGAAGGAGAAGATTAACTTTGTGCAGAAGAAATGGTTGCTCAGGAGGAACACTGGCTGGGATCTGGCTCTTCTTGTCCTTCAAGAGCTACGATATGAAGGTAAGCCAGGATGTAGATACCAACTTTCGACAAGCTAGTGGGAAAAGTTCTCTATAGATCTACATGATTCTTTGAGTTCTGAAAATGTCTGTTAAGAACTCAAATCTGCATATTTCTTTGAAGACCTTCGGACGTCCCTGAGGTTTTGTTTCTGTTCTCTGGTAAGGTACATATTAAACTGATGCAAACTTTGAAATTTTCGCACCACAGTGCTCAAACGGTTCCAAATTGGGCCCTGATTAGCCTCCCAAAATTTGAACTCATTTAGTGAGAAATTGACTTGGCACAAACCATTTGAAGTTTATATGGGAATTATTATGGAGAAACCATAATTTCGGTTCATATCTATCCCAAAATTCACCAGTTCACTCTCCTTTAGAAAATGACAACTGAGCTCGTTGCAAATTTTCTCAGCTACAACTTTGTTCAAGAACAATTTTCGAGCATGAAAGGAACAAAAGTTATTAATGATTCAAGTCACTGATGTCTTATGATAATGCTCAATCAACTGTTCAGCAGGCAACATTGGTGTTTATGGCGCGTAGAATAAAGGACAAAAATCATGGCTTCTATGTATGTCACACTATAGAATACAGTGTTTCCTACAATACAGTAGCTTAATCATGCCATAAGATTATCAATCTCTTAAACAATCAATAACTATTTAATTTCACGTTTGGCTGGAAACAATTTTCTGAAAAGTTGTAGCTGATAAAATTCCCATAAAAGCGGTAGAATTTGTTAACAGCACAATATGTAAAAAGGCTAAAAGACAAGGAGCAAAAAGTTTTATTTTCCCATAGTTATTTCCATATAAACTTCAAATGGTTTGTGCCAAGTCAGTTATCAAATGACTTCAAATTTTGCGAGGCTAATCAGGGCCTGATTTGGAACCGTTTGGGCACTATGTAGCGAAAATTTCAAATTTTGCATCAGTTTAATACATATCTTTAAAGATCAGCCAACTTTCCTGAAGATCTGCAAATTTCTCTGTAGTTCTACAGATTTCTTTGAAGTTCTATGCGTTCTTCATAAGTTCTGCAAATTTTCCTAAAAATCTTCAAAGTTCCTGAATCCCTGCAGATTTGAGATCCTTAAAGACCAACAATTATCTCTGATGTTCACAAAATTTTAAATAAACTACAAACTTCTCGAAAGTTCTGTAATTTTCTCTGTAGATTTTCGTGATTCAATGAATATCTGCAAATATCTCTGACCATCTACACAAATTCTTTAAGAATTAATAGATTTTCTAGAATTTTTTTAAGGTTTCTGGAAGCTTTCTGAAGTTTTACTAATTTTTCTGAAGCTGTGCAAATATCTCTAAAGATCAGCAAACTTACCTGAAGTTCTGTAAATTTTTCTTTAAATCAAAGAACAACAATAAAATTCAGAAAATTTATTTAAACAACTGCGAATTTTTCAGTAGATTTACGATCCACCCTCTGAACTTCTCTGAAGTTTCTAAAATTTCTTACAAATTCTGTGAATTTTTCTGAAGTACTGTAAACTTTCTGCTCTAAAGATCTATTTACGAACTGCCCTTAAGTTCAATAAATTTCTCAGTAGATCTTCGAACTTCTCTAAAGTTCTGTAAATTTCTTTATGGATTCTGGGTTTTCCATAAAGTCCTGCAGATTTATCAAAAATTCATCGAAATTCCCAAAAGCTCTCCAAATGATCTGAAAATATTTGACCGTGAAATACTTTATATTTCACTGTTGATGCTTGGACTTCCCTGAAGTTATGTGAATTTTCCTGAAGATTTGCAAACTTTCGTTTATAGTTTTACATATTGATCTGAAAATATTTTAGCTTACTTGAAGTTTTGAAAGTTTTTTTGAACATTTATTGGAAGATCTACGATCTCTCTTGTGATTTTTTTTTATGAATTTCTGCAAATTTCTTTTAACTTGTTTGTAGTTCTGTTCTCAAGAACTACCCTTATGCTAAACATATTTCTCAGTAGACCTTCAAACCTCTCTGAAGCTCTAAAGAAAATTC